ACGGCCTATCGCGGCTCTGCACTGGGAATTTCCACAAAAGAGGCCCCGCCCCCACTTTGACGCAGCACGCACGTTGCATGCGATGTGCCCCCTGCGGCCTTGGGAAAAGGACAGCTGGCGCACCACATTCATTGTGGTGCGCCGCTGATACAAAGCCGCATCATCCAAAGAGAGGAAAATCATACGACCATCCACATGTCCGACGTTTCTACTTCTGCCTGAGCATATTTCCCCCCACCAAGGTGATGGTTTTAAACCCTCGCATCCCCTTTTTGACGCAGCGGCCTGTCACCTCCCTCTGCAGGGACACTGCAACGTGCAAGGGGGGGGACCCCGTCGGCTGCCGGCTGTCACTGCAATGACACCGGCCCCCTTCTGGCTTGCAGCGTCACGCCACTGCACTGCATCCCGGATTGATGCAGTGGTATACACACGCACACACACATTGCGCAATAGCTTGCGTCTGCATTTACATACGCCGGGCTGATTTTTTTTCCCCTCTGGTGTGATTCTCAGCAAATTACACACACAAACCTAACAGGATCCATCTATATTTTTTATCCTCACTTTTATCCTACTGTGTGCAGGGGAGTGTGGGTAAATGTATTCACTTATAGTGATTTGCACGTCTCTGTTATGTCACAAATTAAAGGGGAAATAAGCTGGTGAGGTGCTTATTCCCGGTAACCGCATTATGACGCATGGGTCACTGAGGGTGCCGGGTGATGAGACTGCGTAGAGCTTCAGCGGGATGGAGGTGGATAGGTTGAGGTGCAGTTTGGCGGACATGGAGGTCATGGCAATAAAGCCACTCATGTCCTCTCGTGGCCCTAAAACCAGTATTTTACTTAAATCTTGAGTGAGAATATCCACCAGCACCTCACCTTCTCCCCCCTCCCCTTATATAAACCGATTAAGGCCTACCTAAAATGGCTGGCAAGGTTATAGGCAAAAGTGAGGCCTATGAGGAGACACAGAGGACACTGGGTACTAGTCTTCTTTGGGGCCTTTGAGCAACACTTTCCATAATGAAAAGGATGACTACCCAAGTGTGTGTGTGTGTGTGTGTGTGTGTGTGTGTGTGTGTGTGTGTGTGTGTGTGTGTGTGTGTGCCGCGCGACATGACTGTGCACGCCACCTCCGTGCATGCCTGCATGCCCCCCCGTGCGTGTCACACCAGAGGGCTGCGTAAGGCTGCGTTCAGGCTGGTAACTCCCCGTGCGTTCTCTGGCTGTTCCTAAACTAGGTGTCAATTCACAACAGGCTGCAGACCTACCAACTGAGTCCGCCCAGCGTTGAGCCGACACCCCCCCTGGCCCTGACCGCCCCGCCCGCCTTGCTGGGCCCCGTCCCGGCCGGGGAGCTGCGCCCGGAGACGCTGATCCAGTGCCAACAGATCGTCAAAGTCATCGTGGTGGACCAGAGCGGGCGGGGCCGCATGGAGGCCTTCCTCAGCCAGGGCCCGGCCGCCCACCAGCTTACTGGGTTGAAGGTGGGAGGGGGGTGGTGGTGGTGGTGGTGGTGGTGAAGTGAGGAAGATGGGCTTACCCCCATGTTGGCGCAGTCACTCTTCTTATCCTCCTCGCAGGTTGAGAGGTGTGCTCTTTCCGCTGGAGCACCCTTAAAACGTCTTGCAGTGGACGGGAGGGGAAAAAGGGGGGAAGAAAGAGAAAATGGTGGAACGACCAGTCTTGAGGTAAGACAAGCGGGAATGCAATGGAGTCTTAAGGTGAGTGCGTCACCGACAAGTTGCCGTTCCTAACGGGGCTGTCGTAAATTCAAGCTCGGCGAAAACGTCTACGAACAGCCCCAGTCGCGTTTTGTGAGCCTTGCTGTAAAAGAAACGTCGCGGTCACACTCCGAGCATCACGAGTGGATTTACCACGCCACCAAAAGGACCGGCGTTCCTAACTCACGAGCCGCACTACACTGCCTGCGAAACGCTTGTATCCCTCCGCGGCCCGGTAACAGCGCGAACTGCTTGGCGCAGTACAGTCTGTCCTCGCGCCGCACAACTCCGCCTGTGAAAGAAGCGCCGCCCGCAGCGAATGGCTAAAAAGTCGGATTGCTGATTTGAATACGCTCCGCCCATCAGCAATACCGTCGCCAGTGAGCAACGCCCATGCTTCACCGCTGGGTTCGTTGTCCAATCATGAACCTGAGCGTCTCTTCTATGATGACCAATGGGCGTCAACGTTATGTTCCTGCCGGCTAATTGGAGGCAAGCTTGGCCCCTCCCGCTTTACTGCAGAATTCAGCGGCTAGCTAGCC